AGTGACAGCGCTAGGCAGGTATTCAGGCATCAATTTCTTCTGGTAGCCAAAAATTCTCAGGTATGGAAAACTAGAAACATGACTGGCATTAGAGGAGTCCTTTGTTCTTTCTTCTTTCCCTCTATTCATCTCCCCACCACAACCCCCGTTTTCCTTTTTTAAATCATCAGCATCAAACCCAGGGTTGCTGCATCCCTGGACTATAGCCCCAGCCCCTTTTTATTTTTTATTTTGAGACAGGGCCTTCCTAAATTGCCCGAGCTCACCTCAAATTTACAAAACTTCTGCCTCAGCCTCCTGAGAGGCTGAGCCTTACTGCGTGTGTCACCATGCCTGAAAACGGTCAACTTCCTATCCTTACCTGACTCAGTTCACAAATTCAGACTTCCTTGAGTGACAGGATGTCTGGGTGGCATTGTACCCACCCACTGTACCTGCCATAGAAGCTTCTCTCCCAGCAATCCCCAAAGGAAACTGCAGCCTCTTGCCTGGGCCGGACCCTAACCCACCCCAGGAACCCAGAACACCATGGAGTTTTGTCAGTTTGAGTGATGGCTTATGGTAACAGAGGGATAGAGTTCTAACCCAACTCGGCATCTGGGCCCACCCATGGAAGCTGGGCCCTTTCTGGGGGGAAGTTTCAATATTCTGAGGGCTTAATTCCCTGGCATAGCAAATAGGGACTAGCAGGATGCCACACTGGAGTCCCCTCACCCAGGTTTGTGTGACTTGTGTGCTTCCGTACTCGAGAATTATTTACATTTATTTATCTGAAATTACCTTTTCTAGTGCTTTGTCTTTTCCAACCAGACTAGACAAGTTGCTTAAACACGAGAACCACATCCAAGTCATTTCCTATTATGTTCTTAAGGGTGGGGGTAGTTTCAAATTATGCTGCAATCAGGCAAATGCTGTTGGAGCATCTCTCCCAATAGATGGAGTGAATCAAAGGCAAAAGCGTCTCCCCAGGAGAATCAGAAGTGAGGGCTGCAAAGACTCAGGCCCACTTGCTTTCTCCTAATGCCTATCTTGTGTCCCCTCATCTCCCCATTTGACAGCTAAAGTTAGTGAGAACTGAAGAGTAACTATTAAAGACCTAATCAAGCAGTGAGGCCAACAGAGAGGCCTTCTCCGTACCTCATGCGGCTGGAATAGAGACCTAGCACTTGGGACTAACCATTGATCTGGGAAATGCATTGTTCTCCATTTCAATAAACAGGAAATACCAGAAGCAGTTGGCACCAATGCACAGGACTAGTAGTCTATCTTCAAAGGAACAGCATTGAAATAGAGCAAAAAACCCAGAACCAGCATTGCCTGGGTTCAGATCCTGGCATTGCCGCTTACTCGTTGTGTGGCTTTAGGCAAATGACTTAACCTCTGTGAGCCTTGGTTTCCTCAACTGTAAAACAGGGATAGCTATACCAACCTCAAAAGATTACTATGAATTAAAGTAGTTGAATGTGGTAAAGTGCTTCAAAGAGGGGCACACAGCTCCGTGCTGTTCAAAGCTGTAATTATTAACTGATATCTTTGTGGCTCTAGGGTATACTCAAGTTCTCAGGATGCTTCTGACTTGCTGTCCCTCAGATCATGGTGGCGTGGCACTGGCTCACTCCATGTGACATCCTGCAGACAGGATGCAGTCAGCATCAACACTTTCATTCCTTCCCAGAACTCTACCCTGTAATTGCAAATTCCTACAGCATCTTTGCCTACAGGGTTCCTGGCTTTTTCCCAAGGACCTGGGTAGTTTCTGGCTTCAGCAGTTTGACCACCCAGCCCAAGGCTTGCAAGCCTTTCCTTCCACTAGCAGATGAGAGGAAGATGATGAGGATGACCCAATGTGGGGGCCACCTTAGAAGTGAGGGATAGATTATGGCCATCAGACCAGTGACCATCCTCTCTACAGCAGGGAGAGACCCTGGCCTAGGTTTGGCTCCCCAAGCAGGCGTGGGAGGCAGCTTCTCTGCAGGCTGAGTCTGCTCCCTCTGTCTGTACTCCTACCCAGCCCAATGGCTTTCAACTTTTCTCTAACTCCAACTTACCGAAGTCAGGGAAATCTTATGATTGAGAAAGAAGCACCCCAATGGTTCTGCTATGCCTTCTCCTCCAGCATCATGTAGGCAGCTGCAAGCAAGATCAAGATGGAACTGTGGTACTACCCCAATCTGGGGGGAAATCCATCTCACCCATCTCCTATGCTTTCTACTTACAAAGATTCCTACTGATTCCTTCTAGAGGGGGAAGCAGCCATAGATGGAAGAGATGCAAAGGGACCTCGAGCATCCCTGTTGAAGACCCGAGACAGCATACATAACCACCTGGGTCCAAGTGTCACCGCCTCTTCCTAAACTTCCAGTGTTGGAAACCTGGAGTCCAGGTCCTGGTTCATGGTGCTTCACAGGGCACATGGCTAACAACTAGGCCTCGCCCATGACACTCCTAAAGATTCAAGGTCACCCCAGAGTGAATCCTTATTATAGGAAATAATCCTGGAGAATGTGAGTTCCGACCCAATCTCTTAGCAGACAAAGAAAGGGAGACTGAGCTGCGGGCACAATTACTCTTGAGTGTCAACACAAGGAAACAACCAGATAATGCAGAAAGAGCCTTAAACTCCTGCCACCAATGCTGTCTTCCGCATTGTCCAGGAGCACATCAGGGTAAGACTCAAAGAAATGCAGCTTTCTAGGGCTGGGGAGATAGCTCAGTGGTCTAAGTGCCTGCCTGACAAGTGCGAGGTCCTGAGTTGGATCCCCAGTACCACACACACACAATTGTGGATTTCTGTTGGGATGCCAAACCACAAGGGTCCCCCATCCCCTGCCCCTGTGACAGTCAGGAGGCTGCCGCTTCCACTTCCTCCATGGTCTCAGTTTTTCCCACTCTCTAATTGTCACTCACAACAAAGGTAAGTGAGGCTATTTCCCTGGAATAAAGTAGGGCACCACTTGTCCTTAAAGAAACAAACTGTGAAAGTCCCACAGCAGAGACAGGCCGGCAGGTCATGCTGCATCTCCAAGGAAGACTGAACGGCTGGGCCCCGGCGTTTCAAACGAATCATCCCCATTGGTAAGGAAGCACTTTTGAAAAACGTGCAGAGTTGCCAGTGACCTTCACCTTTGAGCCCAGGCCTGGGATCAGGCTTTGTACCTTCTTAGTAAGAAACGACAGAACGGGCTGGTGAGATGGCTCAGTGGGCTGGTGAGATGGCTCAGTGGTCTAAGGC